TTTTATAAAACCCATTCCTGCCCTCAAAATTAAGCTTTTTACCATTTCACAATAGTTAAAAATATAAAAAGTTTTTAAATAAAATATCGTAACAGATGCAGCCACCAAATGTTGCCGGAAAGTTAAGCAACTCGTTGCTGAATTTTAAAATTAAGTTTAGTCATTTTTAGACACATTTTTCTCTCATTCTTCAAAAGTCTCCTTGTTTAAGCGATGAAAATATGGTCACTTCATATATGTAACACAATGATGATAATTATTTATATATCTATCTATATCTATCTACACGTAGAAAAGGTACAGGCGGCTATGCATTCTTCGGCTCCGTTAAAAACTATAGACCTCTGTCGTGATGTTATTGGGTGCATCGTTAAACTAAGCTACACATACCTCCTCTATATATAATCAAAGTTCGATAGAGCACCACTGTCCATCACTGAGATCGGCATTAAACCGAAAAATCTCAAATATAAGAACTCGTTGCAGAACTCGTTACACACAGTAACGAGTTCTGCACATAACTTTGAATTTGAATTAGGGGAGGCCCTACACGTCCACAAAATAGTAATAACTTTAATAACGCGAATCTCTAAGTGATCGGAAGGCATCGGAACTTTAATCGTGAATCAGAAGGCATCCCCCTAGGCAGATCGTTCAAGTGTTGCATTGTTATAACTTAACAGACATTTAAGCGATAATTTGTTTATTTCATGGAAAATTTTGGGAAATATTGAATAAAATGTTTCTCAAGTAATGTGTTATAATTTCTCTATAAGTTTTACTGCATTGTAAATTCTTTCTTTCTACTTTTAGTGAGCGATTGGTTGAAGGTAAGGAGGACTATGGATCGAATAATGACATTATGGGTCTTCCAACGAACATCGAAATGAATAAAGGCTTCAAGAAGAACGAAGATTGCATGGAAAATACGAACACCATTGGGTATACTATTGGATATACCATTGGATATGCTATTGGATGTGCTGTTAGAGATCGAAAGGCATTGAAAAAAGCCGGATCTTTCTTCAAGGCAGTATGGAAACCAGTCAAGAGGTATGTTCTGTATATGTTAGTACAAAGTTCGATTTAACTCGGTCATTCGTTACAATTTGTCCTTTATAATTCTCACTGAGTCCAGTGTGATGCTAAACCGAAGTACCTCAAACGGCAACAATTATACACAGTATTAAGATGAACGCAGAGATTTGAGCTTGAAAACTTCGTAATTTTTATGAGAATGGCATAACTTTCCTATATTTTTTACGCTACATCGAGATTTACCAAACTAGTTTCATTTCTAATCCAGTGAAAAGATAAGCTACAAATGAAAATAATAATAACGAGCAATTATTTATTGACATCGTCACAATTGACATTGTGACGATGTCAATAAATAATTGGCAATATTTAATAGTGGCAATAGTACAATTTTTTTCAAATTGTAGCCCAATAATTATAAAGCTTTTAGAATAGTAAAATTAGATTTAAATTATCGCTGAATGAATAAATATAACATTTTTTGATTCTCAATTTGATATAATGTAA